CAGGAAAACACATTTTAAGAATAGATAAAGAGGGGCCAGAGAGATGACCCAGTGATTAGAGCACTGGGTACTCTTGCAGGGGACCTAGGCTTAATTCCCAACACCTACATGGTGGCTCACAACTGTATTTAACTCCAGTCCTAGGGGATTTTTTTACACTCTGGCTTCCACAAGCACCACATGCATGCAGTGCACATACATACATGTAGGCAAATACCCATACGCATGAAATAAATTTATTTTTAAAGATTTATTTATTATTATTTTTATATTGGTTTTTCGAGACAAGGTTTTCTCTGTATAGCTTAAAGCCTGTCCTGGAAGAACTCACTATAGACCAGGCTGCCTGTCACAGAGATCTGCCTGCCTCTGCCTCCCGAGTGCTGGGATTAAAAGGCGTGCACCAACACCGCCCAACCCAAGATTTACTATTTTTATTTTTATTATGTGTAGGTTGTATCTCTGTGTGTAGGTATGTGTATAGGAATGCAGGCACCTATGTGTATAGGAATGCAGGCCAGAGGCATGAGATTCACTGGAGCTGGAGTCACAAACTGTTACGAGCACCTGACATAGGTTCTGGGAACTGAACTGGGTCCACTGAAGAGCAAGTGCTATTCTATGGAGTCATCTCTCTAGCTCTTAAATAAAGTAAAATTTAAAAAGTGGATGAGGGCAGCTTCAGATGATCGAGGTAGTAGAGGGTGGAGATAGGCTGTTGGACAAGAGTCTGTAGTGGACAGGTATACAGGTCTCAGACCTAGGTTAGCCCAGCAGGTCCCCCTGAAAAGCAGGGTGGGGTGTGGGGGTGGTGGCCTGGAGTGGTAGCATATATTCCTCCCAAGAGGGCCATGACAAAGCACAACCCTGAAGTTGACCTCTGCTAATTAATGTCCATCTTCCTGACCCTGCATGACCACCAAGTGGAGGGTAACCCAGCAAAACTTCCTGTTTGCAGCAAGAAGCAGGCCTTGGCTGAGTTTCCTTTTCAGGTCAGCTGTGACTTCTCCTTGGAAGAGAAGCTGGGGAGGCTAATGAGCAGGGAAGGGGGAGGGGGTTATGCCGAGGAAACACCCGGGGCAGATGGGACAACAGCTGTGAAGCATGGAACGGAGACAGCAGGAAGAACACTGGCCTGAAATCACATCATGGTGAGCAAGAAAGTCACCTGAGCAGAATGCACAGAGAACTGCCCACCGCAGCAGCAATCAAGGCGGGGTAAAAGACAAAGGGCTTAGAGAAACAGGGTTATGCCAACTTTCCTACCAACACTTGATGGGCTTTTTGCTATTAGAGGTAATTCCCTCACTGCCTACGTCAAAGGGTTGAGGATAAATAACAGGCATAAGTACTTAAACAAATGAAAAGCACCCAGAAATGCAAGGATTTTTTTTAATGGAAAATAAAAATAGAAATCCCTTCAAAGGAATCTCATGTTGCCCTTTGGCAGTCCACATGTTAAGAAACGGCTAGCTGAGCTTTCCCACGTTCAGCAGTCATTCCAGTGTGAGCTCCCCAGCTGTGGGAGCCACCATGACGGCGCCTCACCAACATAGCTTAGATTCTGCTGCTGTTAAAACTTCCACAGCTCCCTTTTGACAGTGGCAGGCTCCAAACCCAAAGACTTCTGACAGCCTTCAGCGTGCAAGGTTGCATAGTTGAAAAGCAAACAGCACAAATTTAAGAAAATTAATAGCTGCAACGGGGGCTGAGGAGACCGTCCCTGAGAACACTCAGGACAGAGGGCGTGTGCAGGAGGAACAGTAGTGAGGACATTGGGGGTGGGCGTGCAGGAGAAAAGAGTAGTGGGAACACTGGGGGCGGGGTGTTTGGGAAGAGGGAGGGGAAGAGAGGGCATATGGGGACTGTACTGCTCCCATAGGCAGGGGACCACATCCTGGGGACAGAGTCTGGAGAGGTACTGCCAGACTCCAGGTCTTCAAGTGGAGTCTGCGGTCTGCTCCAGAGGTGAGCATCATCCGAGACTAGAGGCTGGCAGGAGAGGAAGGGGTGGAGTCAACCCAGAGCCCGAGGGAGGACAGTCCTCAGGCCGCAGACTTCATCACAGTGGAGCTGAGGCCCTAGGACTACTAATTTTGTGCTGGGAACTCAGCAGTGCCACATTGTTTAAGGGACACCACAGAGGGCAGACAGCGTTAAAGAGTGGTCACAGCAGTTGATACACAAAGAATCTGAGACAGTCAAAGAATTCCTGGACTGAACGTTGAATGAACATTGAAAAGTGGGTCTGGGCTTGAGGTGGAGATGGAGAGAGGCAGAGCCTCCCAGTGCCTGAAAGCCTCAGGGCAGATCACATAGCCTGGGGTGACAGGCTGGCTAGAATGTCCTGACCATCCTAGCCCCCCCAGGCTTAGATGAACCAACTTTTAAGGGGAAAAAAAAATCTTATGTATTTATTATTATTATTATTTTTGAGACATGCTCTCACTATGTAGCTCTGGTTGTCTGGGAACTCGCTCTGTAGATCAGGCTGGTATCAAACTCATAGAGATCCTCCGCCTGCCTTTCGTGTGGGTATGGGCACTTGATTGCAGTGCCCACAGAAGCCATAAGAGGGAGTCAGAGGGGGCTGAAGAGATGGTTCAGTGGTTAAGAGCACTGGCTGCTCTTCCAGAGGACCTGGATTCAATTCCCAGCACCCACATGGCAGTTCACAGCTAGTAACTCCAGTTTCCAGGGGATCCAACACTTTCATATAGGCAAACCTCCAATGCACGTAAACAAAAAGAAATCAATCATTAGAAAGAGTCAGATCTGGAGATAGAGTTACAGTCAGTTGTAGGCATCTGACTTGAGTGGTTAGGAACTAATTGGACTGAGTCACCTCCCCAACCTCTCTATTGGCGGATGTTTCCTCTGTATAGAGCTTCTTAGCTCACTGCAAGTCACACTCAGTGAGAACCGGAGAAACCTGGTGGACTATAGAAGGCAGGGCCCTGCCAGGTTCAGATTCAGCCATCTGCAACTTCGTTGCTAACAGAACAAGACTGGCCTGGGACATGCACAGGAATCCTCAATGATACTTCAGGCACCAAAAGCACACTTCTCCAGGAACTAAAATTCTTGAGTTTTTAAGTATCACCCACATACTTGCCTCCTCCCCCATGATTCTTTAAGACACGCAAAAAATGTGCTAATAAACTTAATTTGCCTAAAGGCACTTGTTAATTAGTCACAAGTTTCCTTTGGTATTGTAATGCAAATTAAGAGGAGCTGGGTATGGTGGTGCACACCTTTAATCCCAGCACTCCAGAGACTGAGTCAGGCTGATTTCTATATTTTGGAGGTCAGCTTGGTCTACATAGAGGTTCCAGACAGGCTAGAAAAGTGAAACACTGTTCCAAAAACCACAAAAATAAAATAGATAAGGCATGCTAATGCATGTCCCAGTTCCAGGAACCTGGAGCAGGCAGTGTTGAGAGCCCAAGGCTAGCCTGAACTACATACATAGCAAATCTCAGTCTCAATGAATTCATTTTACCTGGGGAGACAGGATTGGCACCTCACCTCTGCCAGCTCCTATTTTATCTTCAGAGCTCATTCTGAGATGTAAATAAAGCTGCACTGAGCGTTGGTGGGCAGAGTGTAAGCTGTGAAAGTGAATGGTATCGCTCAAGACCCCCAAGAACCAGTTCTCAGCATAAAGGAGATTTATTTGCCCCAGAGGGACAGAGGGCAGGGAACAAGAGACGAAGACAAGAGACAGAGGATGAGGGAGAAGAGGAAGGGAACAAGGGAGGGGGTAGAGATAGCTGTCCTGGAGGGGACCAAGGACTGCCTCTGGATGGACAGGGGCCCATAGGAAAAGGGTGCTTTATAAAGGTACTAGGGGAAACAGTGTTAGGAGGAGGAGTTTAACTTTAATTGGGCATGTTAATTAGGTGAGTCAAAGGGGGCCTCTGATTGCTGGACTTAGTTAATACTTTGATAGTATAACTGAGCCTAATTAACAACACCTTGGTAATCAGCCTCAGAAGGAGGAAGTGGCCAAATAAGGGAATAGACCTTGGTGGCCAGCCATTTGTTTTTTTTGTTTGTTTGTTTTGTTTTTTGAGACAGGGTTTCCTGTTTAGCCCTGGCTATCCTGGAACTCACTCTGTAGAGCAGTCTGGCTCACAGAGATTCCTGGGCCTCTGCCTCCCTAATGCTGGGATTAAAGGCGTGTGCCACCATACTGAGTAATCTAACAGTTTTTAGCAAGGCAGAGGGGATGGGAGAGGAGGACAGAGCCTGCCAGGGTCATGCCTGCCATGCTCAGGCTGGTGAGTCTCTTAAGGAGGGGCTACCGTGTACTCCACTTTTTGTTTATTTACTTTTTTGAGACAGAGCTGTTCTGGGTATGGGGTCACTCATGAATACATTTTAATTAAGACGAGACTTTATTCTGACACTGGCACCAGGACTCATTTGCACCTGGCGTCATCAGGGCTGCACCTGAGAGGATTCCCAAGATGCAGCACGTAGCCATTATCAGCCCAGGGCTTATAAAGGCAGAAACCACAAAAGTACAATTTTGGGTCTTGCAATTGTCTTTGGAGCAGAGAAAGCAAGTTTGATTACAAAACCATAAATAGTCTTAAGACCGACAATCTTGCTGGAACAGCAAATTCTACAAGATCAGTCAATTTTAAAAAGTCTTCAACGTCTGGGGAAAAAAAAGCAAGTGGGATGACAGGGTACAGCCTGTACATGCTAGAGGCTAATTTTTTTTTCTTTTTGGTCTCTCAAGCATAGTAAGCTTAAACTTTCAATGTAACGGTAACGATCACAGGTCTTCCTATGTAGACCAGGCTGACTTCGAACTCACTCCACATCCCGAGTCTGGGTTTGAAGAATGCACACCACACTCGGTTCCTTGGTAAATTGCACCAGATCCTTGAGAGCACGCTACGCTGCCTACCCGGGAGGAGGAGACGCTTCTCGAACGGAGGGACACTTGACTTCGCCCAGCCCAGAATCCCGCGTGACCCCGAGCTTACCAGAGTGAGCGCCACCTCCAGCATGGGCGCCAGGGCCAGCGTGCCGTGGAAGAGCGGGATGCAGTCCACGAAGAGAGTATGGGCGCCTGCGCCCGGCGGGTGCTCCTTGCGTGGCCTCTGCCTCTCGGCCACCAGAAGCCCGTTGACGGCGCAGTGCGGGTACTTGGCGCCGTGTAGGACCATCTTGCAGTAGGCCTGGGTGGTCAGCTTCACGCCCGGCATGCTGAGTGTGGCTGGCGACGTCGCAACGGAGACCCACCGTGCGCGGACCAAGCCCGCAGCACCCTGAGGCAAACTCACGCCTCCACTGGGCCACCTTCCGCTTCTACCCTCCCGCCGGAAAGCGTCGTCGCCAGCGCCTGCCAGAAAGCAGCGTGGCCCGCCCGGCCTTTCGCGACAGTCGCCAGGCCGCGATCGCGGCCCCACGAGTGTGGGCGGAGCTTCCTCGTTCCCGTGGTGCTCCGCGGCACCGTCTTGCCCTTCCGGTGCTGGCCCTGCTCTTCCGGTCGCGAGCAGCCGGGGTGTAGAGGGCGGTCGCGGCGGTCGCTAGGGCAGCAGTGGCAGGTGACAGCGGGTGTCGGCCTTTGACAGCGGGTGAGGGCGGCGTGGCCGGGGGCCGAGGAGCTGGAGCGCCCGGGCGGGCGCGGTGACACTCGGGCGCCTCCGGGCCCGGGGTTTGAGCCGCTCCGTGACCTTGGCGCGCCCGCTTCCCGGGCCGATCTGTTGTCCTGGGTCCCCCCACTGGCTGTTCGTCTCCGGCCTGGCCCGCATCAGGCTCTCCCGCTCCGCCAGGCCCGAGGCGCAGCGAGCTAAGCCCTGACGTCACGCTACGGTTTCTGCCGCCCCGGGCGGTGTTTTCTCAGGCTCGGACGTTCGTTCCCGGGGAGAGCGTATATCGAGGGGTTGTGCTGAAGTGAGGCGTGGAGCTCGGGTCGCAGGGGCGGGTGACAGGGGTCATTCTGGTCGCCCGTGGGCCGCAGGGGACGGGAAGCGGGCCAGGGCCTGGAAGGCCTTCCTCCGCTTGTCCTTCGTAGTCCGCGCAAGTCGTTTTTAAGTAAAACCCAGTCGCAGGCGGTGATACCACCGCCAGCGCGAGGAACAGCTCGTGGCTGCACCGTGCTCAGCTTAGTTCTAGCCATTTTAGTCATTTTTCTTTCAAATTGTCTTTCCCCCCATCCCCCAATTGTTTTTTTTTAAGAAGCCGAGTTTCTATTAATTGAGCTGTGTATATTACAGCCCTTGGTTTGATATCAGGACGCTTTGTAAAAACCACCCCATCTTGCACTGCTTCATGCATTGGCATCAGGTATAAAAACGGATCCTGGGCACGTGCTGCTGTCCTGTAATGCTAGCTCTAATGGAGTAGAGGAAGATTGAGTGCAAGCTGCAGGCCAGCCTATGCCGTAAACATCTGACGAAGTCATAACAGCACAAAAATCATTTAACGTTGGAGGAGTGAGTTGTGTATACCTCCTGAATGCTCTATGGCAAAAAGAAACACTAAAAGGTGTTTTCTCTCATTGTTAGAAGTGTACGCTTTTGTCTTTCAGAATGTTGGCGACTAGGGCGCTTAGCCTAATTGGCAAAAGAGCTATTTCCACCTCAGTGTGTGTTCGAGCACATGGTAAGTGAAGTGAGATTTTTGCTTCCTTTTCTTTCTGTCTGTCCTTTTGTTTGTTTTTGTTTTTCAAGACAGGATTTCTGTGTAGCCCAGGCTGGCCTCAAACTCATGCCTCTGTCTCCCAAGTGCTGGGGTTAAAGGCGTTCGCCACCATGCACGGCTAAGGACTTTTCCTTTCAAATAGGCCAACTTAATGTCATTTTGCTCCTATGTCTAAGACCCTGTGTTGGGGTTTTAAACAAAGATGCACTTTGACCTTGTAGGGATTTTAGGGAGAGATGAGAATTTGAGCAGGGCATTTGTCTGAGCATGCATGAATCCTATTAGTCTGGGTCTTTGCTTGCTGATATTTCCCTCATATTTTTTTTTTCTAGTCCCCTCTCTCCCTTCCTCCATCCCTCCATCCCTTCTTCCCTCCCTATCTTACTGTGTGGCTCTGGCTGGCCTTGAACTCACAGGGTTCCTACTGAGTGCTGGGTTAAAGATACACTACTATACCTGTAAAGTACTGCTCTTCTAGAGAGCTTCTCCATATCTGATTTGAATCTTTCTCCCTCTCTAAACTTAAACTAAGTCTCCTCCTGTTGACGTCACAGAAACAACGGGGAGCTTGCAGTATGGAGTGGGCTCCTAAGGTGAAAGCAGTGTGAAGACAGTGATAGTCCCAGAAGTGGACTGTTTAGCCTGGCTAGCACTCAGGAAAGGCTTTGAGAAGAGAGGTTTTGCTGCTGAAGGCTATCGGTCTAAAGTGTGAGACTTGGGTTGTAGATGAGAAGATGGAGAGCAAGGCCCAGACACCAACATGCGTTTTTCTTGCAGCTGCCTTACAATGTGGGTGTGTCAGAAAAGCCATCTTGCGGTAGTGATGGTGTTCTGTGCCTGCCCACTCGGGGAGGGGGGTGGAGTTGAGACATTGTTATCTATCGAAAGGTGGTTGGGAAAGGAAAGCCCTCCCTTTCTGAACCCACAGGGAAAGAAGGACTCCATCTCCAAGCATAGACATCAGTGACGGGACCAGTTTCCAGTTTGGCTTGGCTCTCATTTTTTGATTAGTCTGGCCAGCAGATGAAGAACTGAAATGTTTGGGGTCTCTAATAAGTCACAGGAGTCCTCCATGGGTAACACGTGCTTACAGTATTAGGGTACTGAGGAACTCCACTGGGGCACTGTGGTCAGGTGAGATATTCATAGTGTAATGTGGGAGAATGGGAAGGGAGCTGAGACCTAACAGGTCTGACAAGCTGGGTTAAAACTCATCTTGGTTGAGAACAGAAGTGACCTTAGTGAATGCAAAGTCTTTTGTCTCCCTTTTATTATTGTTTTTTAATTTCCCCCCAAAGATTCAGGTTTATTAGGGGCAGGAAGGGCCACTGAGAACTGCTGATATCCTAGGGTAAGGCCTGGCATGTGCCACAACCTGGGTCTACTTGAAAGGAAGTCTGTCAGCTCTACCTCACCCACAGCCGTTAGGCCCAAATGTGACTGAGTAGCAGGGATGGCTTGTGAGCCTTTGCTTCCCTCTGATCCCAAAGACAAGCACAAAGCTCTGAAATGTACTAGAAAGTAAATTAACCACTCTTGGTCTAGAATATGCCGTTTTATGGCTAGTGTGTTCTAAGACCAAGAGAGTTTATGGCAATCTAATAGCTGAGCTGCAATCCACACAATACATTGATTCACTTAAATTGCACACATCATTGTTTTAGTACAGTCGTTGGTATGTTCTATTATCACCATGGTTGATTGGTTCTAGAGCATTCTCATCCTAATTTGCATCTACTTGAATAACCTGTTATCTAAGTGTTTTATGCCTGGAGAAATAGGGGTGGGGAGGGGTGTGTGTTGAACTTGGTAAGAATGTCCAGTAGCCAACATTCTCTTTCTGATCCTTTCCCCCTATGTTTTGAGACAGTGTTTCCCTGTGTAGTTCAGTCAGGTCTTGAGCTTGAGATCCTCCTGCCTCAGCATGCCTGTGCTTAGATTATAGGCATGTGCTGTCATGCCTAGCTTTATGGGATGCTAAAAGTTAAAATGGAAAAGTAATTCTGTCTGTTTTGGTTCAGCTTCTGTTGGGATGAGGTTGAACAGAAGAACGGAGACTCGTTCATCATTTGTTCACCAAATAAACACCTGGAAGGATCACAGCCTTGCTTTAAAGGCATAGTGTTCTTTACCAACATGACTTGAGAGATTTAGCCGTGGGCTGAGCTTATGGGGGCAAAGCATTTCTGCAAGGCTTTGTCCCTATGGACAGGTGGGACAGAGTTAGAGCTTTTAGCTGCAGGAAACCCTGGAGGGAGGGGAGGGGGACAATCCGACTTGGTTTCCTGTGGCCTGAGCTTTGTCCTGGTGTGTCCTGTGTGACGCCCAGGTGCATGCTCATGTGTCAGTGGAACAGCAAGGGCCCCCACTCAGCTCTGGCTCTTTCCATGCCTCAGTTTGGACTTGCCTGTCCTTGAGTGTGGAGTGCTATTCAAAACCTAAAAGCTTAACCAGCCAAAATGCTTAACCAGCCAAATGCTTCTAGTTTCTGGTCCTCATGCCTTATATACCTTTCTGCTTTCTACCACCACTCTCTGGGATTAAAGGCGTGAGTCACCATGCTTGGCTGTATCCTTGAACACATGGATTTCTGCCTCTGGAATGTTAGGATTAAAGGCATGTGCTACCACTGCCTATCCTCTATGTTTAATATTGTGGCTGTTCTGTCTCTGACCCCAGATAAGTTTATTAGGGTACACAATATTTTGGGGAACACAATACCACCTCATTCGAAGGAAAGCAGAGCCGAACTGATCTGGCTCTGCTTTTTGAGCACATCATTCTTCCCTTAGAGTTTCCAGGGCCACCTCCTGGCATGTTCAGGATCTGCCTCCTGCTACATGTGCATTCCTAGCATGTGGCCCCATGTGTTAATGTCTTGCCTGTTACTCACTTATAGAATCTGAGCCCATGGGGGTATGTAGGAGTGCTCAGTTGTTTCCTGACAATCCCATATGTATAGAGCCAGCCTTGGTGAACAGTAGGCACTTGGTAAGTCCTTGATAAACAAGTGAGTAGGTGGCTCCGTGATTGATAGCTTCTGTGTGAGGCCAACAGTTTCTGAGTTGGCCTCTGGGAGTCTAGTAGCCCATCACTGTACTCTGCAGCAGCCACCTTTCCCTTTTTGAGTCTCATGTTCTGAACATGAGTCCTTGCAGTTGGGACTTCATTTAGTCCAGTGGCCTGTCCAGCAAATAACCCTCAGCCCTGTCCACTTCTGGTGACTGTGAACCTGAGGGTTTGGTTAGGTCAAGTGCTTCCATTTAACTGTTGACTGCCATCACCCGTCTGCCTGGATTCCTACCCGCATGGACTTTCAGCTTTTTCCACTGTGTTTTAGGGAGTGTTGTGAAGAGTGAAGACTATTCTCTCCCTATTTATGTCGATCGGCGTGACTATCCCTTGCCTGATGTGGCCCATGTCAAGCTGCTGTCTGCTAGCCAGAAGGCTCTGAAGGAGAAGGAGAAGGCAGACTGGAGCAGCCTGTCCAGGGATGAGAAAGTCCAATGTGAGTATCAGGGTGTGCACAAAAACTCAGTAGTGTGTATAGGTGTGTGTGTGTGTGTGTGTGTGTGTGTGTGTGTGTGTGAGAGAGAGAG